TACGTCACCACGCAGAGGCGCACTTAGCTTACGCACTAGCTCTGACTCAGAATGCATGAACTGCTGGAACAGATAATCGTTGATGAGCTATCCGAGCTTGCTGGTTTTGTCGTCGACCAGTCAGTCGGAGGGTGAACTGCATCAAAAGTAATGCGTGGTCAGACTCAACGCAGATAGTCCAATAGGACCTGCAATTTTGCACTGAGCCACGCCAACGGTAACTTACTGCTATGTGGTCGATTTGAGTTAGCGTACCAGTTGAACTGGAGCGCCACGTTGCCGTCCGTCGAGAGCTGTGTCGGAAGTTGGTGCTTGCGTAGTAACATTATTTTCACTTTCCAACACCACTCCCATGACTGATGTAAAGACCCTATTTTGTTTTATTGCCCTCCGTTTCGAGAACACATATGACCTCGAACTTGGCACAATTTCCGGTGAGTTGTATCGTGCGCTTTGCTCTCTGTACACTCTCCACTGCAGGTCACATCATACTACAAACGCTGGTACCCGACTTCCTTCTCGATCCGTACTCACTCCGGGGAACGTTTGATAAGCCCCACCTGTTGGAGTCGTTAGCGCGTCGTAACTCCGACCCGACTTAGAGTGCTAAACTTGATAGGAACAGATGATGGTCTACGCAGAACTGAAGAAGTCGATAGTCGTTATCTGTTCGTTGTCGGGGCAGAGCACAACTACCACCTAGGCAAGCTTCTGATGCGCTCAGTTTTCCAACCTGCGCGTTGAAGTAACCTGCAAGTGCAACTATGTCGGAGCTTTGACTCACTCGAATGAGGTCGGCGATTTCATCGTAGAAAGCGTCCTTTTGGGTATCAGAACTGCAATTGGAGAGATAGTATCTAAACATACATTTTGCTTTTTATTATGTAAGTCTCGATTAAGAAATTTGCAATGCTATCTCACGTTTGCTTTCATTTCAGTCTTTAGACCTGCAGCTGCAACCTCATTATTTCTCTTATTACGGTTCGAGGCTTCAATTTATTTTCTGAATGGAAAGCCGCATTTGTCCGAATTGGTAAGTTTCTGTTGTAAAGGTTTCACAGAAAGTGATGGCACTATTGCTCTCGCGAACTTTACGATTCATGAGGCTTATTGTACTCGGAGCCTGGTGAAATGTTCCCTATGCAGTCAGATGATTCGTAAAACCACATTCGAGGCACATTTAACGGAGGTCCATTCGGCAATTCAATGCGAACATTGTTCCGAATCCTACGAGCGTTGTGATGACGCGAAACATCGTGTAAGTTTGAGAAAAAATGACCAGCCCCGTCTGAACGAGATTGTAGTCCGTTTGTTCTATGCGTTCGGCCACGTGCGAGTTTTGTGATCTCGTCCTACCCATGTTCATGATGCGAGAGCATCGAGAGCAATGCAGTTGTCGCACAGAACTATGCGCCCGTTGCGGGAAATACGTGATGAACAAGGAACGTGTGACTCATGCCTGTTCACCCACATCCAGTAGTCGTAAGTCGTGTTGTAGTCGGGGTCATGAATATGTGTGCATTTGACAGGCACAGACGTCAGCTTGCCCAGTGGGGATACCGATTTGGATCGAGATTTTGATATTGCCGTACGACTACAATGCATGGAATTGGACAGTTTAACTGCATCCATGAACACAATCCAGAATCTACCGACAACCACCGTATGGAGCCACATAAACCAGACTCCCAGAGACACGCCTGAAGATTTGGCGGAGTAAGTAGTGATGCATTCATTGCTATCTCTCGCGCACTTTGGTTTTTGACTCCATGATCACCTGATCACATCAGCTAATGGCATTTTGTAGTTGTGTGATGTGGATTAAAATATTTGAAGTGCTGTGTCTCATCTCACTGTTTATCATGTTAAATAGTGTGACAAAAGGAATCCATTGAAGAATGTCAATGCACTACACAATCGCCTTCATTAGGTCATCGTTCCATTAAGCTTAATTAGTTATTAGCGAAAATTTCCTGCTAGCTAGAGATTACCCGGTCCCATAGTAATACAGTTAGTTTATTCGAGATGTTACTGAATCCCTCGGCCCATTAGAATTACCGCTCCGTAAGTGAGTGTATTCTTATAGCACACTTGATATGTACAAAAATATCCGATCCCTGGGATAAAATACATTGTGATAAAAATCTTCTTCGTTATCTCACAGCGGGCCAACCATAACATACGTGCTTCACAAAGAAAGTCGAAATGAGGTGCTCATTCCGATTGATCTATCTTTTTTACCCAAGTATTTTTTTCGCTTTTTTTCTACCCTCTCAGTGTTCCGGATACGGAAAACACAGCCGAAAACTCCGTTCCCTGTGACTTTTGTGGGGGATCGTACGAAGTTTCTCAAATTACCACACATCAGGTAACCAAATTTCACACATTTTGTCAATTTTCAACATGTGTGAGAAGCGAAGTGATAGTTAGATTCATTATTCACTAATTTATTCTCAAACCGATATGCTGGATTTATGCACAGACTTCATAACGCACGAAATACCGAGAAAATCAGTTTGAACAGCCGTTAACCATGCACTTTTGTGCGCCGGTTTTGGTTGTTGTCTTTTGGCTGCCCATTTGGATGAACATGAGAAGAAAGCCAGGAAGGTTGAAAGTGGAGTCGAAAAGAGAATTTGGAATGTCAGTGGACTAAGGTTGCAATGATATTGAGAAGATGCACGAACGCCAGTTCACGACACTCAGCCATATCACTCAGTGTCTCTAACCATCGGTTTCGATCATCCCGAGGTCCCCATCCAGGGAGCCCAACGGGACCTATGTGGCCGAGTCTCTTCGTTAAGGTTTTCATACACTCTTGCCAGGTCTGTTGTTACTACTGAACTACCGTTAGCATTTTCAACACTACAAACTATTTCTTAATCCATCCTGTTTTATTTTCATTGACTTACCTGATCGAGTGAATTACATTTCATGTTGTATCGCGGAGAATAATTGTTATGCTACATAGATATTGGTGACCCGTTATTTAAATCATTGGAAAATTCTTCGATCACCGCATGTAGTTCGCCATCTTTTAATTCCACTCACATTGACATAACTGTATGGATCAATTTATCGAGAAACGAGACTAGTCTTCCGTGCTGCTTCAACACAAAGCTGACAAACGTGTCTAAATGACAGCGACCACAACCTTCGAGTGTGCGTGTGTGGCGCGTACAATAACTGCTGTACTCTAGATCTCGCTTTCGATGCAGGAAGATGAAAACAGTAACGTGAATGACAGTCCAGCCTTATTATTTTTTTTATTATACACAATTTGTATGATGAACAGCAGACGGGGCAAACCCCATAATCCCGAAGACTTGCTGTTCAATGATGGAAACCGGGCAACCAAGCTCCCGGATTTGGAGTGGCGAACCACAAAAAGCCCCACTAGGTTAGGCATGGTGTTGTATCGGGCGTCAGCAAAGCTGCCTACCACTAAACATGGTGGGGCTCGAATCATAGGGTCTAAGGCACACCGGTGACAGCGACTAAACCACTGCGCCATTACCTACTGTTGATCAAGTGGTGTGGGTTAGATCCTGCATCAACTAGGATTCTGAATTGAACGGAGTAATCTTCAGTGACGAGAAAAATCAAATCGCAAAGGTCACAATAGAAAGATAGACGGAGAGCGAGGCTATCAACCATCAAATTTTTGAAACGGCAAAACGATCGCCTGGTGCTACTATAGCGTCGCTAAGGTCACGGGTTCAAAATTTAAAATCCGCTTTGTTTTCCTGTTTTTGGTCTAAGTGGTTCTATCATTATACCGAACAATGGTTTGTTTAAAAGGGAATTGGAAGAAAAACTGGACAGCATGATAGTAATGATAAAGCAGTTGGAGTAGAGAACAACGCGTGTTTCATTTTCTTCTAGTTACCTGAGGCTGTCTTCGGTTTCAATAATTGGTCATTATCAGGTATAAATAGCAGTACTTTATTTAGTCAAGCCAATTCATTGTTCACCGATGAAATCACAACACTGATCATGGCGGATTTATGTTTTCTGTTAGAGAACATATGTTCTGGTTACAACAATGGGCGGTGGTGGCCAAGTGGTTGGGACACCAAATTATGACCTGGAAGTTCCGGGTTCGAACTGCTCCACCGCCGCCCATGTTCGCTATTTCTGCATTTCCCCAGGTAGCCTTTGTATGACCGCAGCCCCCTTCCTGAAAGTTGACTGTACATTTGTATATTAAATAAATAAAAAGGAAGTAAAAAAGCATTCACATTTTCACATACTATATTGAAATAGTTTCATCGATGTTTTTTTATTCATATCGGTAAAAACAGATCACCAATCGATACTCGACGCTAGTACCCACATGACAGAATTCGTTCCACATACATGATTGAGTGTTTGCGTTCATTTCCATCGTGAGGATGAATAGTGTTGTCCCTTTACTGCCTCATCAATCAGGAGATTTCTATCTATCCCAACCCCAAGCGGAGATTATTCCCAACGGCATCCGAATATCTTATAGACCCTGGAAACATGTCATACCCATGATTGATAATGTTCGTCACACGAGATCCATGGTTGGAACGGATCTCACTGAAAACTTTGGGCGTCGTGCTCATGATTATGGAGGAAATTACCTTGTGAGAAACACAAAGTAGCGAACAAGCTCGTTTG